TTTTTTATGATACCTGACAATATCCTTGTACATCTGATAGCAACAGTAGAATTAGCTATAATGATAAATTACTAGACATAAAAAGTAATTTATAAAAAATAATAAATTTATGTAATCTTGAAATCAAAGGAATGTACCAGCTGAAAAGACACATGAAACAGAACTTGTGATATTAACATATTTATTCATCAATCATTTTAAAATAGACATACATCAAGCACAGAAACTATTAGTCTGTATCTTCAACATAAGAACAGAATTTTATTATTCTAATCTTAAAACAGTAGTAATTAGACATCTTAACTAACATTTAAATTTCCATGAATATTCTTTTTAGTATCATTTAATGCTGCAGGATCCCGGTGTGCCATCACGATGATTCATGTTGTACCTGCAGAGGCTGGAAACATTAAACACATAAACATTCACTAGCAAACGAGCAGTAAGATCTGGCCTTAAAAAACAATCACCTGTAGAACTACTTCATGTACTGTAAATACTGTACTTGACTTTGGTGTCTGTGGTTTTGGGACTTATGGTTTTTAGTATCTGGAACCAATGACAGTGCTTTACTGCATTTGCAATTCCTAAGCTGTAAATTGATTTAATTTGAAATTACTGCCTCTAGTATTTAGGTGCTTATTCAGTATGATGATCCTATTTTATGCCACCTTGTTTGACATCAGTTCCTGAGGGATTGTGGTCAGTATTAACAGTTGGAACTCCACTTACCAAAATGCTTTGGTATTGAAAATGAAAAGTTACGGTAGTAGTCAGTTTTGAGAAAATTAGTGCTTCATTTTTAACTGCAGGATTAACTAAGAGTACATTTTTACTGTGAAAAGAAATGACTTTAGCCCTATGCATGTCTGACTCGATATCATGTTTGGCCCCATTTGAATTCTTAGAAATATGTTTAGTCTTGTGTTAGATAAAACCCAGAAGGTGGATCAAAGAGTAATGTAAGTCTTGGATTATACTGTACGTGAAGATTGTAAGACATATCTCTTTAACTATACTTACAAGGTTGGTATTGATGTGTTCCAGGTATTTATTTGGACGGATTTATTTTGGATTGAAATGAAGGAAGCTGGAATGTACAAGACAAAAAATCACCAAAAATGATGGTGATATGCAAATGCTGGCAGTCAAAATTATGAGAAAGTTTACTGAAATCTTGCATACACAGAAAATGATCAATTATCCATTGACTCATTCAAAAGTTTTAAATTTATTTGAACTAAAAATAAAACAGTCAACACCTTTTACTGACATTTTATCACATTACTTCCATATGTCATCAACCAGTGAAAGAATGCACATTTATGTTAGAGGGTTTAAGACCGTTCATGAAAACACATGAGATTGGAAAATATGTGAGCACCTGAAAGATTGGTTCTTCATTTTAACATCAACTGTTAAGATGATTTCAGAATTTCTGTTAAATCAAGTGCCCTCTGAACAGAATCTGGAGTAGGAATATTAAATATTGTGCATGCTCTATACCACTCAAATGTGGATATGTGGGGAAAGTGCAGTGTCCAAACTCAAAATTATGGTGTCCTAGAATTTCTTTAGTAGACACTTCTGAAAACAACAAGGTCTATAAGGTACAGTAGATGCAGTGCTGAACTCTGTGTGGAAGAGTTTAGTCTTGCTGTAAGCAAGCTTCAAAACAGACAAATCCTGAGAAGTTGAAGATTGCTTTTTACTGCCACTGAAGTAAAACTCCAGGTGCAATCTCCGTTGTTTGAATATTGTTTCTTAAAGACTGTCTGCAAGATGCTGTAAGTGTGACAAAGACAACATCGACAGTACCTTGCAGAATGGAAGAGAATGGACAGAATGGAAATGAGTAGTGTGCAAAATGTGATTTACGAGCCTCTAAAGAAAGGAAAAACATGATTTTGTAACCTTTATTACCTTTCGTAATGGAAGGTGACTTAAAGAAAACATTCACAATACGAAAAATATTTGTTTTTTTTTTTCAAAATATCAGTCTGGAAATTCAACTTTAAAAGTAAATCTCAAATAGAGCTGTTTCTGACCTACAGTAAGGGCAAAAGTGTCAAAGACTGTGATAGAAATATAAATGATCAATACACTTTTACAGACGTACCTTTAGAGCTTCAGCAAGAGACATCGCTGGCCGACCACTGGAAAGTGATGCAGCCTGAATGGAAGAAAATACATATTTTAAGAAAATTAAGGGCATGGAAATAACTAATTCAACATTTCAAAGGGTCAACACGAGGGCCCGATTGAAAATTGTTCAATTTTAGAAATCATTGTTATCGTCGGTATCTCAACAAAGCTGACCAATAATTATTGGCATCACTGTAAGCTCACTCTCTGATTGTTTTAACCTTTTGAGCCATTTGAACATTAGGTACAAATAATAAACGATAGCAGGTAGTATAGATATGACCTGTATTAAATGTGTTTTTACATATTATCATATGCAAAACCTTAATCAACTGCAGTGTACATACTCTATCAGCATATAAGCTATCAAAACATCAACATATGTAGGCTGAACATTTGCAAGGGTTAACTCTCGTACCTCTGAGCCTGGCACTGCTGGATTTGGGTTTGCAGGTGCTGAATGCTAGAAGCAAAGAGAAATTAAGAGAATAAACAATAAGTATATAACACTGTACTATAATGTCATAGTAAGTACAGTACATGTGGCGTTTATATTTGTTTTAACAAAGCTGATAAATCTACAGATATCTTACTGTACGGAATATACAGTTAATTACAATTGCTTCCCGCAGCACTAAAGTGGCTACAATATCTGCTTTGCTTGTGTTGCTAATCATGTCAATGAAATAATGAATAAGGTATTGTAGTTCAACCATAAGTATTTTCTTAGCATAGTCTACAACATTCTTTCTTTAATTCTATGTTATTGGACTCTGGGTGAGAGCACTGTACTGTATTTGACAGTCCAATTGGCACAGCGTAAAGAGCTGGAAGACACCCTTCGTACCTTGACTCTCTGTGCTCCATTGCCAGCTGCCTGTACACCAGCTGCCTGGAGTGCCGGTAACTGCAGGTTGCCATTTGCTCCGGCAACTGGAAGAATCTAAGCAGCCAAAAAGTATAAAATCCGCAAAACCTTACTCCTGTATCTGAAAATATACACAACACTATTCCTGGAAGCAGACTTGTAAGCTTTTCACAAGTTACAAATGATTTTTTTTTTTTTTAGCTGAAACAAGCTGCATGTTGGAGACAACTCCCAGGTAATTTGCAATACAAAAAAAAAAAGGACTGGAAAATGCAAACTGTGTTTCAGTAGTTCGGTCAAATCACAACTTAACTTGCCTGGCTGAATCACTGGCCAAAGATCAGCGTTGCCACACCTCCCCTTGCTTAGAAGGAATGAACTAGTAAGCCAGCGAAGACAGTGAAGTTGAAGGAGGCAGGATTATCCAGAAAAGAGTTGGGGGCAGCCATAGAAGATTACCACCTCTAAAATGTATGTTAAATTTTGCATTTTAAATTGCTTAGCAGCTTTCACAGTAACCTTTTCTCCTATTAAGTTTCATGGATAAGCTCAGGATGGCACTGGCTCTTACCAGGAAAAAGCGAGTGATCAGGGACGGATATTTCAAACAGGTTTTTAGACTCACTGTTCTGAGAGAAAATACATAATCATCTTACCTTTATGAGTTGTAGTTGGTTTGGTGCCGGTACCTGCAGCCCTGCTACTACATTCGCTTGCTGTAGCACTGCTAATAAAGGGGCCCCCTGCCATGAGTATAAAACAGGACGAAACGTTAGGAAAGAAGAGATGGGGAGCTTTCACAACGTGTACTATGTGTAAACCAGAGAAATAATGTCTATGAACGCAAATATATAGAAGGAATGTTACCCCATTGGGCAGTTGCAGCAGTTGGCCCTGGGGGATGCCAGGCTGCTGTTGTTGTAGAGGAAGCAAGAGGCCCTGCTGTAGTGCAAGATCAGGAATGATAGGCAGTCCGGCCTGAGCCAGACCAATGCCAGGCTGCAGGACAACGATAGGTGAAACACCTGGGATGACCTGCAAAGTGGGATTTAGCAGGTCAATGAGAGCGTGTTAAATTGAAGGCTTAACACAGTATTCTAGATGCAAAACTTTGGAAATCTCAAAACTCAACATTATTCTGCCTATATGACATAGGGTTACCTTAATTTTCCTGCTTTCTTGAAAGATATTCACTTTCAAGAACAAGATATCGTTTAAGTATGCAGTTGGCTTGAAACATGCATGCAGGCAGAAAACAATTCCAAAGCCACTAACACTATATTTAGCTTGATAGATTATGAATGATATATAGTAAGGTGCACCTACCTGTGCTATCTGAGGCTGCCCACCCAGCAAAGCTCCATTAACAATACCTGGGTTAGCTGCATTGGCAATCAAGGCTCCATTAAGAAGGCCTCCATTTATGCCCACAATCTGGAAGAATAAAAGAAAGTGTTCATCATCATCACAAACAGGTCTTAAGGTTAAATACAGTACTTTGGATAACAGGTATTATTAGTTCGGACAGATTATTAAGACACACTGGGTACTGTTAACAGTTCATTTCATTGTACATATTATCATAATGTGATATAAAATTAAAACCAGTGATTAAAAAAGTTAATTGAGTTAATTGATTAAAAATGTTCTAATATATTGTTATATACTGTTATGATTCTTATGGAAATTATTTGAATACACTGTATTCTCTCTATAGCTGTAAATATTGCACTTTCACAGTTATTCTAAATACAATATATTGTCTTCCACCTGTTGCTCAGAAACACCCAGCAGCAGAGAATATATAAACAAGTAACACAACAAAGTACACAAGTGCTCTGAGAAACATACAGGATGCAGATACTTGAGTGAAAGGAAAAGAGATTAAGAGGACTCAAATACCTCTGCACTTGCAGACAATGCTCCTGCATCCACCTAAAAATAAGAACAATTATTGTTTTAAAAATATAGACTGCATGAAAACAGATATATCATCAACCTTTTTCCTGCCATTAATTTTAAATACTTACCAGATGCATGAAGCTTTGGAAGAAGAAACAAATGAAATAAAGTGTCTTCATTTCTGAGCAAATCCTGCAGAAATAAGGGAGAGAGAATGGAATGTTTTGGGAAATACACAGGTTCTTGACTGTAGCGAAAGTTAGCAGGTGAATGATTCAGACATTATTTTAGCTTAAACAAATGTCTGTGGAGATTTCATGACGTGTGCTAGTTCTTAATATTCAATTTACAGTTGAGATTAAATCCTTTAAAAGATTGTTTTTCTACCTTTGGATGCAACAGCAGGTTAATGTGCAAATGATGTGTCAAAAAGGAGAAGATTTCCCTGCCATTGCAGTGTAAAACTCTGCTTTTTAAAGCATTTTTTCCCATATCCACAAGCATCCAGCCAATCAGTGCTGAACACTGGAAAGTGATTCAGCATATTTATGTCACTAACCACCAGCAGTATCTGGGGTTCTAAACAACAAAGTTCTCAGCCCATTATAGTAATCTTTTAATGAACACCAGCAAATGAAGATTACTAATTAAAAATAAATCTTATTCATCATGACATTTCAAAATATCCAGAATCACATTTTATGGTGTATATCATAGACTTTAGACAAAAAAGCACAATTGATATATAAAATTAAAAGAAAAGACTACTGCTCGGAAGTAAAGGATTATTACAGGTATTTATTTTAGAGTGAATAAACAATGCAAATCAAAACAATATGTTAAAATGGAAAGAGAGCAGAAAACATTAATAATTGCTCATTCAACAGTCTCTTAGTTGCCACTTAATAATTGCTCATTCAACAGTCTCTTAGTTGCCACTTGCTTTTTTGGGAGTTAGCTTTGGTGTTCGTCTTGAAGTAGTCTATGGGTTGACTTTGCTAATACGTTTCAGCTATAATTCCAGACATTTAAAAGCTTGTGCTGTGAATACAGAGAAAGGACTGAGCTGAGTGTGAAAGCCTCAGCTGTCCAATAATCCGAGGTAACCCCACTGAGCTTGTGTGAGATTTTCTTGATTCATCCCAACCAAAGCAGCTCAGTAAACTCATCTATAAAACTCCCTAACAGAACCCCATCATTTAAAAGTAAATGTGCATTGCTCTGAGATTCCAAATTACTTTAGTTCCTGGAAGTTTTGGCAAAATGTATCCCAGATAAAGAATATTTTATGTGCTATGAGTCAGGAATTATACACAGCAATTTCAATTCCAGGTTACCTGTGTTTTACATTGCCAAGCGTGGATATCTGGAATGGTACTAATCAGTCTCAAGTCACCAAACAGCACAGCTAAGCACTGTAGCTCCAGGATATCCACAGACTTGACGCCCCAATACTGAGCTCAATCTTTCCACCCAGGGGTGTTGGACACAAGATGCATGAGGTGGGCAACACACAGACGGTGGTGGTGTGGATGTTCAATTATCAAAGGACGCATAAACAACAACATGAACCATATTTCAGTAATATATTTCAATATTAACACAAAACATTCATCAATATTAATACATAATTCCTTAATTTCTCTCTTATTTTGCTAGAATATCCAAAATGAACAGATCCCTTTTCCAAACTTTGGCATTTATTAATCACGTCTGGGATATCTTTGTACTGTAGCTCTTTTACAGAAAACGAATGATGTTACTCATGTTACATCAAGCACTACATTCAGTTTGATTAAACAAGTATATTGTTTGCTATTGCTGCCATGTGTTGGTACAGTACATCTTGAACACTTTTAACTGGGCTGAAACTAGCGGACAGCTGATGTCATACTGGGTGTTGTGGTAGCGGACTCCACCTTGCAACTCTTTGCTCACCATGAACTCATTTCTGTTTGGTTTTCTAAAGGTTGTTTAAGGGCACTTAAAAAGGTAAAACTGTTTTTGTGTTTGGTGTGATTTTCGAAAAAACAAAAAGGTATTTGATTTTTTTTGTTTCTTGTTGAGAGGAAGTTAAGAGTTGCATGTATGCTTTACAGTGGAAAATAAAAAAAACTGCTTGAAATTAAAGCTTAAATACACAAGTCAGACTTATTGTGTGAACACATACAGTAAGCTGCTAACTGTCTTGCACTCATCTCTTCGATGACAGAAAAACAACAATTTTAATCCAGTGGGATTTATTAATGAAAGTGTGTACATTTCAATGGTTGTCCCATTCCTTTGTCAGCTATTCAGAGCTGAGTAGAAGTAATTAAAAAAAAAATTAACTCTACCACCACCTATGCTTTAATATAAATCTTCTCATTAAAGCAGAGTTACAATTAATTAAGTATTCAATTTTCAAGGATTTTGTAACAATATTGGCTTGAAATGTTACAAAATCCTTGAAAATTAAATACAAAATTAATTCATTCATTAAATTCTCAGTAGACAGTTTTAAAAACTATACTTTTCTGAATTTTGGTGGAAAAAAATGGAAAACAATGAAAGTCATCAGAAAGACATCAGAAAACCTTAACCATATAACATTCTATTTCTATTCTATTATTGGAATTCGGTATTAAAGCAATTTTAGTTTAAGGGATAGGTGTTTTAAAGTGCCTAGTCAAATTTTATCGACACCTTTCAATTAACACCCGATTAAGACCTGGAAAACGTCTTACTGGATAAATTGGTTACCCAAAGTAATTAAGTTGCGGTGAGATATGATGAAAATCAGAAATCTTTCAACTGTTTTCACACTGAAACTCTTGGACCTGTACCACAGCGCCATCTACTGCCCGTGGCTCTTATTGACATCATATTACTTTCAGTAACAAAAGTATTCTGTTAAGTAAAACATCTAATTTATTAGATTCGTATACGTTCAGGTTTATATGCATTTTCACCCTTTATCATTTTAATTCATTAGCTTTTAGTCATGGATCTCTTCCTAAAAAATAACAACTTTTTAAAAGCTGTCTGCTTGTATTATACTCCAAAGCTACCAGATTGAAACTGATATCCAACTATCCCGTGAAACAGAAGTCCGGCAAATGTCAATACATATCTTAAAACTTTGAATGGTATTAATGAGCACCCAAAAATACAAATGTGAAATATATTTAATTATATATTTTTACATTATCTGAAAAGTTTTTATACATATTATAATATATTTACCGTTGTCAGTCAGAAACAGGAAAAAAATAATTGTTTCTATCATTTCTCAGATTGAATTTTCTCCATTTCTTAAACCGTGTTAAGTAAACCATTCAACTCAATACCTGTAAAACCTTTTCAATTATTAATTTGAATCACAAAGGGAATTTGTAACATTTTCCATTGTTGTTTATTAATACAAACATACGTATTTTCATTGTGTGTTAATTTCTAAATCATATTATAAAACACTTAAGTTATGTATTGGAAGAAACATTTCCTGCTGATGTGATTCTTGAAGATCTGTAAAATACAACACAAAATTAAATCATCATAAGCATAACCCACTATAGCTATGAATCCCATAATTAAATTAAAGTACCTAAGTTTTTGTGAAGCAATGAGAGGCATAAATATACATTTGATTAAAGGGATTGTTCGAAATTGAACACTTACAGAATTCTGGATCAGTGACTCAGCTTTTAACCGTGAAAAGAGATCTGTAATAAAAACCACAATGCAAAGCCTCAAAAACTCTTTATTTGACGAGTTGTACAGTAAAATAAGCTCTGTGCTAGAAGGGTTGCAATTTGCAGTCTCAGTTTTCACAAGCCTTTTTTAAAATTTGCTTTGACTAATTAAATAAATTTCATATAAGTTAAGTTGTGGCTATAGAAAAACGAATTCGAATTGTGTAGCCAAAGTAACACTTTCACAAAGTATGTGAAACTGCAGTATGTATTAAAATTAGTGTCAGAGCTGGGGTTCAGGTTAGCTTTAGAGCTGAAAAATTGATTATCATGGATACTTTTGTGTTTTACTGTATATGTTTCTTCATTTAAAAAAATGCATATAATGGATATATTATAATTATATATTATAGAATATTATAATACATTATAATAGCATGTTTATGTATGTGAAGGTATTACAGTATATTTGCTACACAATGATAAAATAGATCAAAACTTTCAACTTTGCAATAAAATAATAATATAAGTAACTAATAGATACTGTATGCTTGCTTGTGTCTGTACTATTGTATGATAATTTGGTCTGTGTCTTTTCAACTGTAAGATCCGTTTTTTGTCAGTAGACCAGATATTCAGAATGGGTATTAGTTGGGGAGCATCAGCTACTGCTTCCACAAGTTATCCCTCTATTTGTCCTTTTTGTCTCCACAGTCAGAGAAACTGAAAACGGAGCTTTAATTAATACAGTGAAATGTCCCAGCATCACTAGGGTTCTTTGAGACAGGGCAAGAGTTAAATGATGCATCTAAACTACAGAAAACCAGATGTGACATGTTCTTTTTATTACAGTGAAATATTGTAACTGTTTTCTGTTCTCACCCCCAGTGTGCAGCACACAGCAGCAGTTTTCAGAATTAACTGTTCAGTTTAGCAAAGGTGTTAAGTTTTAATTTCACCTTCATTTTAGGGCAGCTTTACAATCCTGCCTTGTCTCAAAACTTTGATCATTATTGCGCTAGAAGGTCATCACACTCTTCATTACTTTGAAGTAACACTCATTCTAATCAGTATAACATAAATAAGACAGCAATCCAAATTCCTGCTTACTTGCTTCGGTGCTGTTTTAGAATAAGGTTTAAGGCCCTAGAGGGAGAAAAATCAGCTTTAAATTAACATTCAAAAGTTACAGTACATGCTGTTTCTAACTTCATTAAATATTCTACAGTTCTTATCACTTTAACTGAGATATACAGTACAGTTACTGTGGGCTGTTTTCAACTATGCCCGATGTATATTTTGCATTTACCTCCTTGGTTGTCCTATAATCCAGGATAAGCAATGCAAATGATATCCATTATATATTTTGTTAATGCTAGGAACAAAATATTCACTAATATATATATATAAATATAATAATGTATTTACCGCTCCATTAAAATCATCAAAACCAGTAACTGGGAAGATCTGGAAAATAGAAAGACAAGACAAAGAAAACATGGAAAAATATGGTAAATTTGTTCTCTGTCTGGAGCTTGTAGTGATCATCAGCATCATCTAGTTCTAGAGCAGCTTCTGAAATTGGTTGTGGGTTATTATTCAGGTATTATTACTATTCTCTTCAGTGTTAATTCTATATGTTCATTATCATTTTTCCATTGCTCTACCGGGTAAGTTGAATGAGAGCAAATTCTCATTTATAGCGACAACCACTAGAAACATCTACAGTACCTGTACATAGCAGAGCATTGACTGGAGCGATCTGAGTTAAGCACCTTCATCGAGAGCTCAACTGCTGTGTCGCTCCTGGAATCTGAAACCACATCTTCCTGGTTCACAGCCCTAATCACTCCTGCACATAGTAATTTATTTACTCTAATAGCTTAAATCAAATAAATGCATTTATTCATTCTGAGAGTTTACCCTGTGAGTCTTGTAACATCAAACGTCATTTTAAAACGGGGAATCAGGCTGTATGAGCATTTTGAATCAGGAAAGGTAATAGCATTGTGAATTGCACGTTTTGTTTTTATGAATGTTCTTTCAGTCTAGCAATCTCCAGAAGGCAGCAATACATGATATATTCAAGAATTGGGTATGATGCCAGCATCCTGACAAATCCCTTTCCTACAGGTTCTCTACAAGCTAGAGCCCCAAAATAAAACTAATTCCATTTTAACAGGCAGCAGTGTTTATGCATTATGTGGAAGTCTGCAAGCAGCTGCTTAATTGTGTTTTTGAAGCTTCTTTCAGGGAAATAAACTGCAGGATGAGATCCTTGGATCAATTAAATTAACAATGAGTTGGGTGGGCTGAATTACCTTCCTTGTTTATAATGTTTCTTCTTTCTATCATGATTGTAAAGTCCTTGTCTATGTACAGGTGTAAGGTGTGTAAGACGTATGCTAGGTACTTTTAACGCTCACTGAGAAAAGTGGTCCACAAGTTGTTCTTTTTACTCACCCCTCCTCCAAGTCCCGAAAAACCATCAAATCCAGTAAATGGAAGACCCTGAAAATAAATTTTAAAATAATGTGACTACATAATGCTCCATTTATTTGAACGTATTATGAAAAAGAAAACTGGTTGACTGGTCTGTAACAATCTTGGCTTTGTGCATCTGCTTTAAAGAGTAGCTTTCTAATTATACATAAACTGTATTTCATTTGTATATATTATTCATCCTTTTTCTAAGGGCTTCATCCATGCATGGTAGAAGGTTGTGGGGCCTCACCAGGAAAACTAGTATACAATATATCCATTTTGGTCAATTCTAAAATAAAAATTCCAAGCAAAGATTTTCAATGTTGACCTAAAATTGCTCAATATTTTTTGTATTAACTTACTCCTCCTATGAATCCTGAAAAACCATCGAATCCATTAACTGGCAGACCCTGCAAAAACACATTAAAACAAACACAATGAGCTCAAAGAAACTTTTTTTAAAAATTCATTCAATTGTCTACAGTATGTTTACACATTAATGTCATCGTCTGCACAATATGAAAGAGTGATAAGACAGGTAGACAGAATGTATGGATATAAAGATAAAAGTGCAGAATTAAAATCAAGGGTGGATTTGTTTAAATTGTACAATGAGCTAACAAGACCACATTTAGAATATTTTTTTTTACAATTGTGGATTGTGGTCACCATGTTAAAATATATATATATATATTTATATATATATAGCTATGCTGGATTTATTCAAGACAAAAGCAACCAGATACATTTGTGGGCTAAAGGGGATTTAGCCTCTGATTACTAGGATACAGAAGTATTCCTAATCTGAGAAAAAAGATTCCTTCAAAAAGGTTGGAAGGAATATGGAACAAGCTACACAGCCACTTTGTCTTAGCCGATACAGATATGGTCCAAGAAATGGCTGAATAAGATCCTGTGATAACATACAATAGCTATAGTATTAGCAACCAAACAAGCTTGATGCCCCAATGGTCTGCTCTCATTTGGTAGCTTTTTATATGTTCATATGGTTTTAACTTTTCTGTGCACTTCAAGCAGCTATTGTTATAAAAGGCAATATAATATTACAAAATTGTCGATGCAGCTTACTAAGTGCAAAGTGTGTGCGCCTGTGTTTATTTGGCATATACAGTACTTATTGTTCCTCAAAAACGTAACTTCAAGACAAAAGAAAATAAAAAAAACATACCCCTCCATTTCCTTCGAAAATGATAATAGGTAAATTCTGGGGGCAGAGAACAGGACATTTGTGAATATTTTATTATATTGAATGGTATTATTGTGAAGGACCATCTTCTTTTCTGAACAAATGCAATGTGTACGAGAGCTCCAGCACATTGCCTTAAATAGTAAGAAATAGAAACTACAGCGTTATTCTTCCTTACACATTGCTAGAGCTGTTTAAGCAACATGTTTTCTTCAGACATCTTCCTTTATACATTGCTGTTGGTATGGAGGGCAGAAACAAATCTCACAGTGTTAGGCTGTGATAATGACACCACACCTCAGGACTCCCCATGGTGTCCAGGTCTCTCTTGGTGAGATATCATCCTTTCTGGGGTAGCTATCTTGTCTCATGTTTGTGTGGGCAAGGAGGATGCTGAGAGAAGGCAGCTTAGATCCCAGGAAGTAAAGCATCTTGGTATGCCCCAAGCTTTGGCTTTTTGGATTCCTATGCTACTGCAAGTGCAAGTGTTCATATATTTTAATAATTGCTCTGGATGCTGTGTTTTAGGGTCATGTCATGCCTCTCATAGGCACCAATGTATTGTAGTAAAGATCATCAGTAGCAAATGCAGATGGAATTAAATGCAGTGTAGTTGCTGTTTGAACAGATATGTAAATAATGGTGTTTTTTCACAATATGTAGCTGCAGAAAAATAGCATAAGAAGTGTTCAAAGGAGGAAATACATAATACGTTCTCCATGTGATCACAATGAAACTAGAGTATTTTCTAATAAAATTGCTATTCAATATCTATTAATTAAATTCAAATGCTAAAGGAGAACAAAAAGAAGAAAAAAATACATTTTTCGCTTGGAACAACAAAGCCACAGAAATGATGCTTATAATTTTTTTCCACCTGAAAGCAGATTAACTTAGAATTAAGAATTAGAATTTTAAAACTCACGCCTCCTCCATCAGGTGGTACCGGGGCAGGCTTAAAAGAAACAGAAGACATGATGTGAATCATGTCTAAGACATTTCTGTTCAGCTCAGTGTTAATGTCAGCCCAGATGCTATGTATCCTAGTAACTTTGAACATATTTAATATCATTTAGTGAATATATTTAAGTTAGTTACTTAATCGATTACTGTATATAATTTTAAGAACTGATATTGATATCCATACTTTTTCGTATATTGCATATTATACTGTTATATTCATAGTTTATCTCAACTGCTGTTAGAAATGGGAAAGAAAGGTATCCCTTCTAATATACAGTAGCTATCTATCCAGATATGTACAGTATACCTCTTATCATTTTTCACTCTTTATAATACTGCATGAAAACTTAAAAATAAATTTAACAGAAAATATTTTTGATTAAAAAAAATTACCTCTGGCACAACCTGTGGAATGTATTGAGGTATGACTTGCGGGACGACCTGTGGGACGTACTGTGGGACAACTTGTGGGATGTACTGTGGGACGACTTGTGGGACATACTGTGGAATGACCTGAGGGACATACTGAGGAATGACCTGGGGGATGTATTGAGGAATGACCTGAGGAACCACCTGAGGGACGTACTGAGGGATTTTCTGCGTTGTCTCGGTTTGCTGAAGGGAAGGAAATTGATTGATTAAAAACAGGATACAGTATTACGATATTCTTGTATACTTGTGTGCAGTCAATATCAATGCTTTTTTCATTTATTTGCCCAATTGACATAAGCAGTTGATTTCGATTCTTGTAAAGATCCAAGGGTGCAACTAATTTTTATGTCTCTGTTGAGATATAAAATGAATGATTTCCCTGCTGAGAGACAGTGATTTCTTAATAGCACTACTCCTCTGGAAAGAAGTATGTTTTTTTCTTTGCAAAAGTGAACAAGTATTTAAGAAAACTTTTTAGAAAAAAAAATGATCAGCGGTTTCTGAAGAAAGATAGCTCTTGAGATTTACTTTTGAAGATTTGATTCATCCTACGAAATTGTTTTGTAATCAACCGAGATAAAATAGAAGAAAATAGAAAGGGACATTTTACAAAACTGTGAAAGTAAAGGAGTTCAGTGGAGTTTAATATCTTGCTATCGGGCAGCCATGAAGCATTAAAGGAGAAGCTCACATTACCTCGGCCTCAGCACTCTCACTTTCTCCATCTTCCTCCTCTCCATTCTGCTCAAGCTAAAAAAAAAAAAAAAAAAAAATCTCTTAATGCTGCCTCACAGAGGTAAAGCCAACAGCACTTAAAATATAAAATAAAATATAAAATAAACTAAAATAGAACTTACTGGGACTGGACTTGCGAATGCCGCACCAAAGAAATACAGCAATAATATTGCAGATTTCATTTCTTGTCAATCAAACTTGAAAAACATGAAAAACAATTAAATAATAGTGTTTGCAAAACAGTTTTTTTTAATCAATCCTTTAAAAAGTCCAGCTTAATTCATCTCTGGATGATTATTTTCTACCTAGTAGTACCTGGAAGTAAGCCTAAATACAGTACAATTATTATTACGATAAAAGTATAATAATAACAACAATAATAATGATAATAATAGTGGTGTTGTCTGTTATAGCTGCAGAATTAAAATTGCTTTAATCAAGTACTACTAAAATAACACATCTGCTGAAGATAGCAAAATACACATCACATGTCTATTATATAAACCTTTATAATTTAATATAAAAGAAACAACTTAGTTACTACCAATGTTTAACAGGGAGGACACCACAACAGGATATAGAAGGTGATGCCCAAATGAATAAAATAAAAGGTCTCTTCACGTGTTAGGATTTATATATTAAAGATATAATGCAAAATTAAAAGCTGTTTTCAACCTTTTACCCTTTAGTCCAGAATCCTTCATCAGGTAAAACATTTTTAATCACACTTTTAACATTTACATTATTCAAAAATAATACTTGCCAACAACAGATATCGTTAAGGTTAAATTAAAAAGATAGTTAAGTTAAAAACAGAGTAAATTAAATCTTGAATTATTACCTTTGTAGGGGAGCTACAGCAAATTCCCTTTAGAAAACAGTGATGCTGTAGAGTGTTAAAATTTAACTGAAATGTTAGCTCCAAGCGGGATTTAAACACTATGCATGTAAGTGTTTGTCCAATCAGGAGATGTGATGTATTGAAAACATGCAGTTGAAAAAAAAAAACCTGTTGCTTGACAACAAAGAACCCCCAAATTTCTCTGAAAAAACAATGAGTGACTTAACACAGGCCACAACATATGATGCACAAACGTCTCAGTTGCCTTCCAAGGCATGAAAGCCTGTCATAATAGACACCGCAGTCGCATTATGATGCAAAAATTTCAATAACAATAAAATGCGAAGCTCTGTAATTAGATATTCATTCAACACATGATCTTCTCATTTGTTCCAAAGGTGTGAGGGTTGAGTGATAAACGGCATCAGTGAGCTCAGCGCGAAGGGGAGTTGACAGTAATTCCAGGAATAAAAAGAAACACAAAAAATGTAATGGTGTGTTGTCAAGCGCTTGAGCGGATGAGGAAGAGACAAGAAGGAGGGAGGGCAAAGGAATTAAAACACGAGAATGGGATCATGAAAATGTAGCCATCTAAACTGTTTGGGGTTAAAATGGTACAGGTATAATAAATAATTCAAGTGACGCTATTATGTGCGATTTTCAGAAAATGAGAGGAGTACAAGGGCCTGGCGCAGGATCCCAGCACTACATTCCAGCATATTACCACATTCATACTGTAAATGGGGTCGGATCCTATTGAGGAGATCAGCAGTCGTACCTTTCTCATCTTACCTCACTATGTTCCTTTTCCATTAGCAAGTTCCCTGGCCCTCCTGGTATAGTCGTTCCCAACTGGCAGTTTGCTGAGTCAACTCTTTCAGTCCAGCACCTTGTCTGAATCTGGTCCAGGCCCTGGGTGTTGGCACTGGTTTTGTAAGTGCTTCTGCGTTTCATTATTATGTGCCAGCAACTTTGACACCTGGAGTGGAGGTAATTATTGCACAATCGAAAAGACAAAGTTGTTGAAATTGTTCTGGTGAAACCACCTTTATGTTATACAGTAGTACACATGATTAAAAGTGAGAATAGGAGGTATTGCTTTAAACAAAGAGATATGGGAGTGAGAAATACTAACTACCAAACAGGCTCGAATGGGTTGAATAACGTCCTGTCACTTGGAACTCTTCTTATCTCTATCACGAACCATATAAACCCATAAGAAAGTTTGGTACATTAGAAATCCCATCAATGTTCCTTTCCTCTGTTCCAGGCTTATTTCAGCACAGACAGCTGTTGAATCTACAGAGGTGCTTCAGGGGCTTATTTTCAATATAAGGAGAGCCCACATATTCAAACTGGACCTACATAAGGCCAAATAAAAATTGAATGCTCATTTTCCAGAAAGTCCTCTAACTGTAATAGCAGTAATACCAGCAGGAATCTCATTGAGAACAGAGGACAGTGGGGGAAATGGAGCTTCAGATCATTCTAACAACTTTATAATGTATCCAAATGCACAGCTCAACAGACAGGCAGTACAATATGCGCTTCTTTAAAAGTGCTTTTCAGACATGTCCCATAGAGCTTTACTTTAAGAGATCATTTAAGGGAGAATTTGGGCTTTAGCCTGGCTAGAGTAACAGTCATGGAGCTCCTGCATGCTGATGCAGCTACCTACTGTACTTGAACTACTTAAACCTACCAATGCAAGAAAACACAGGGAGAACATACAAGCGTGCAGATGGCACCCCAAGTCTGGTATTGAACCCATGGCTCCAGCACTGTACATTGCTGCCATAAATGTGGCACACTCATATACTGTACAGTGTGTGCAGCATATATCTGTTTAGATAAAACTAAAGAAACCATGAAAGAGAGAAAGGGGCAATAATTCAGGTACTGTAGTATAGTGCTTCCTCACTTTAAATCAAAATGTGCTTTATGAAATGCATTGCAGATCACAGTATGTAGCTTTCCCAAAACATATGGATGACACTTTGAAACAATAAAGTAAGCTGTGTACTGTACAGTATGTTACAGTATGTATCTGTTAAATGGACATACAGTAGTGTTATGCTTTCTGAGAGCCAAGAATTTGCTTTTGGAATTACAGTGCTGTTGCAGCAGCTGTGCTTTGAAGAGAAACTAGTCTGATGTCTTTTGTACAAACAAAACAACTAAGTTCCTTTTATTATTTGTGCAGATAGCACCCCAGGTCTGGAATTTAACACAATGATATATCCTTTGATTTCAGTATTTTTGATATGTTATTTGCCCAAAACGTGGGTTCCCATTTCTTCAAAGGAGAAGAATGACACATGAAAACTGGTTGTTAAAATAAACTTAATCTTGCCATAGACTTACCTCATGCCTGGTCCTGGAGGGCTGGTGTTCCTACTGAGCTTGTAACAACCTGAATCAGCTCATTGTTCACTTAATTAGAACACTTTAACAGCTTTTTCCAGCATTTCAGGTGCTGGTGCTTTAAGGAGACTGACAAAATTTACACACACGCTGACTCTCTGTAACTCTCCAGGAGTCGGAAGCCCTAATTTAGAGGAATTTAGACAGAACAGAATGGAATCTCAATCTGTGAATCGCCTTGCATTTGTTCCCAAGCGACTTGCATGAAAAATTGATTTTGATCGACTTTAGAAACACAACGTTCTCACGTGGTCTGATTGTTGTGAAGGAAGTTCCATTAGATAAACACCCAGATTGTTTAATCCATACAGTGTTTACTTAGCAAGGTTCAAGATGGGAAAACATTAATCAGGGCTTCTGAAGAATCTTACCCTGGGGCTAAGGCTAGGCCTGTTATTACATTTAGTTTGAGAAAGTGCTGTGGTTACTACAGTGAATCACTAGCACATATTTACTACTAGTTATACTATAACTGTATATACAATTTACTAGTACTGGCATTTTATGCTACTGTAGCAGTTTACACTCTGCTGTTTTTGAAATCCAACAAAAAAGTTCTATAAATCTCACTCCAATCCCGTTGAACATGGAAAACTATACTGCATGTGGCCTTTTTTTAAAACGTAAGAAAATGGCAAGAGATGGCTGTTCAGTCCATTTATTCCCATGTGGAAGTTTGGAAATGTTTAGAAGAAACCAGGATATCAGCTGTAACAACAAGGCAAGGCCCAGAATATTCAATAATTAATATTTACAACAATTTAAAAAGAATTATTGTCTTCGTTATTCTCATGACAGGGCACCACTGGCAGCTTTCAGCTCCTTTAATTTAAACTTGAAAACTGCCCCTTTTTAAAACAATTTTAAATAAGTCAAGTTTGAAGAAACTATTAATCCAGAAAAATGTTCAATTAGTCAGTGAATTTGTTGATTACTGAGTTAGTCAAAACTCAAAATGTGGTATAAATTCTTCTGTATAACCAACAAACACCCACTTTAACATACAGTATGCTTCAGGCAGAAAATACTTTAATAGTAATTATATAAACTGAAAATCTGTTGTAACAGCAGCATCACATGTGCACCAGCATTTTAAAATGAAATAAAAAAGAACAAAATCTTTCTGGTGATGTAAAAATGTTAATTGTGAAGTTCAATGTTTTATATATGGTTTTCATGGTTCTTTAAAAATATTTTAGTTTTAGAATATTTAGTATGACTTCAGGAAAAATGTTTTGTGACATGCTGCTGAATTATAATATTTGTGCCATGAAACAATTAATGATTTTAAGATGTCAGGTTTTCTACAGAACTACAAGAATCATAATTTCCTTAAAATAAAATCAGTTCAAATGCTGAAAAACCAAAGCAGAATTATATATTTTCTTACATGTTTATTGTAACATATTTTGATGTTTCATAACCATATTTTGCCTCTCATATACAATCATATTTGCTTATGCATTGTTCACAACATGTTTAGGACCAATAAACACACAAACATATGCAGACATCTTTCATTATTTTCCCTGCAGGGCACATGTACTATTCATCAGCCAAATGTCTGGAAGAAAAAAGAAGAAACTGAGTCACTAATAACTTAGAATACTGCTACTACTAACAATGCTAATAATAGAAGGCAGACCTTCATGTGTATGCTAAGTGTGAAATATACATACATTTTCACTAATATCCTGAAGACTACAGATGTGATAAAATACACATATCTGTGAATCATTTCAAAACATTGGTATAAATGATTAGGACTCTAGATGCTGAATTTACAGTTTGTGAGGCACTACTGTTGTACAGTACCCTTGTACTAAGTTTCTACCTAGTACTAATCCAGCACAACAGTGGATGCAACTGTCTGAGATTTCCAGATTCTGGAAAATGTATTTTTTAAAATTAAAATTGTACCTCCGTTTTACAATATTAGCTCCATAACAGAACCACAAAATATAGACTTTAGAAAAGAAAAATACAAACAAAAGAAAATACAATACTAACAAGTGTGACTACTACCTGGACTAAACAATCATCAGAATTTTATGAAATAAAAACTATTTGCACTTGTATATGTATTCCTTATGTGTATTATAAAATAGGATGACATTGTATAGCAGATGTAATTTCACAGCCTAAGTGCATTCATGGCTACCTGACCTTTCTTTCTGTTCCTGAATCTCAGACTGCATAACATGACATCACTCATACGGTTTCCCATCAAATATGTCCCCAGTATACTGTACATCATATACAGTACTGTACACTGTGAGTGTCAGACTTGCACACAGTTACTAGCTGTATTCTGAAACTTGCTTTCTTCCTCTTCCAGGCCCTTCTGAAATATTTAATGAGCAAAGCAAACTGTATCACTAGTATCAATAGTAGCCCATGAACACTTGTGCGAATAACATAGGTACTCATTTCATATTTCCAGGGCACTAAACAAAAAAGGCTGTCATTTTAGTTACCGTACCTCTTAAATTTAGAAGACATCTTAATGTCAAAAATGTTGTGTCACAATATTACGGAAAAGCAAACTTCCAGGAGAACAGTAAAATAAATTTAGATATTGTTTACCTTTTTTCTTATGGTGCTGTCATTCAATAAGTGCGGTACCTTTGCTAAAGGTAAAAATATAATTGGCTCATTATTCAAAGCTAGAACTTCATTAAAGCTCTTTTTGCTACATCAAAAACTATCTATATTGTCTGTGTTTACGTGGTTTATTTGCTGATCGTTTGTTTCCCACTTATGAAGCTCCATATAATACTAAAACAAACCTTTTACAAGCTTCACCTACCTACAGGCTCAAATTACCAACCGGAAAGAGGCATTTAATTTCATGTCTTACTGATAAGAAAATGTATGATGTAAATAATGTATAAGAGTGATCTTTTACCTCTATTTGCTTCATTTTTTCACAGTATTTTTCAAGATAAATGTCTTGGTTGCTTAACGCACCTGTTTGTCATGGTAAAAATGTCCTAAAATACTGCAGATATTACCATCACTGCCAGTGCTAAAGCTCTAAAAACACCAGTATTAGCATATACAATTGCGGGGTAGGGTCTCTAAACTCCTAACGCACAAGTTTTGCACAAGTTTTCACTCGTAAGAATTAGGTAAATCATGATTACTCAGTAAATCCAGTAATTAATTTTTGTATTTTTTCGAAATTATATTGGGTTTAATTTTGGTTTCTCAAAATTATATCTCTTCCTTCTCTTACACTGATCCAGTAATCCTGTTTTTTAGAATGAGGTTTGTGGATTTTTTTCCTGAGCCCTTGTAATGTTAATTGCACAGCTCATCTTGTTCCTGTGAGGATATGTATGTTTCACTCTGAGTCGTGTGTAGCGCGATACAGACCGTCTCAGTGGCTGTATGTGTACTGTACCTGATGACAGCCCGAAAGCCAAGAGGAGACACCTCTCCAAATTGATATTTTTGTACATTTCATAATCACTAAAAAATAAGCTATGTAGTCAAATGAATAAACAAGCAATAAAACATCTGAAAATAGATTTTTAAAGGTGAGTGCACCTTTAAACCGCACGGTAAAATCAATTATGCTTTAAAAAGCATTGTTGTTTTTTTAACTGAATCATTAACAGTCGTCTTACCCGTGGTGCCCTTAGACCATATGGAACTGCTCCGTATCCATTATATCCATTATATCCATTATATCCATTGTATCCATTGAAGCCAGCATAGCCTCCATACCCATAGCCCAAACCCAGCAGACCAGTTCCCTAGTGTTGGACAGCAATGAAATTGGGACACAGAGAACATCATAGGTGACGAATGCATATAAACCTCTAAATACTGAATACTAAATACTGAAACAACCTGTTAAGTGAATGTTACAATTCATATCTATTCTCATTCTCACTCTCATTCTTTGATGATATTTCTATTGAACTAAAACCTGCATTTGTCATCACTGATTAAAAAAAATAAATGCTGGTTTAATCCAAATGTTTTTTGCAGGGTCTTATTCATAGGGTGTAAAGAAAATTCAGCACTTTCAGTTTTATGGCCACTTCAGGTGTTACATACATGCAAATACCTACAGTATGTTACTGTTACTGTACATGGGATATACGGTGACATAATGCTGGTACATTATGTCACATTTGACAATTACCAGTAAAAAGATGATTTAATCTGTATCCCAATATACATCCCTTTCACTGTTTAAATAGCAGATGTAATTTTTATTGTTAAATTTCTGAAGCAGTTTTCTACGTATTTGCAATACATGATCTGCCAACTCCAAGGCTTTGTGTGACACTAATTCCGATTTCCTCTAACATGCACAAAAAACATTACAGTAAAGAGGAGACGCAAGTACACAAAACAACTGAAAATCAGCTGTAAGGTTTACTGCATTCCTGTCTGTCATTAGAATGAACGGCTGTAACATACCAGCGTTGGGTCATAAGGAATAGGAATAGGTATTGGCTGTAATGAGAGTGTAGAAAAGAAAGTATAAATAACACAACCGTGAGATTTAAGTTCGTCATTTCTGTTTCTGTCACTCACTCACTAAACTGGTGGTACCAGCTCATTACATCTTATTTAACGCTTTTAGGTGCAAGCAATTAAGCAATTTGGTGATGTTTTTAGTTGTTGAAAGACACATAAGGTGTGAGTACATTATAACCGACGGAAAAAAAGTTACAAATTCTTTAGCACAAGCCCTTTAAGTCTGCACAGCAAAATTTACTTGAAGAAGAGGAACCAAATTTAAAAACAAAATCTGTAAATACCTGTGCTACTACTACACCTACTATCCCTGTTACTATTACCATTACTACATTTATTATTACTACCCTTAATAATGACAAGAACTTTTTTGTTTGAATAATGTGTTGGTGTATTAATAAATTTGTGGTTTTACCAATTACCCGTTTTGAATTTATATCTAATACTGGGAAGTACTTGACTATAGTTCTGCTCAAATAAAAACTGAAACTGAACAATATAAAAACTCTAAATGAGATTGCCGAGCAGAGCATTTTGGTGAACTCCAGTGACAAAGACACAGTTAGGGAGGAAAGTTAAAATTACCTGTGGGATTTGAATTGCTGGCTGGTAGAATGCACTAAAACCCTGTAAAAAGAGACTAGTGAATACATTATAGGAATATACGCTGGTCTGTATGTGAACGTGGCATGTTTGTTCACAAGGTACTGCAGCCAGATTTTAGAAAGGCAATGCTTTGGTAGAACTACTTTGGTAGAAGTGCAGTTTTTCTTCTGATGTGCTGCAACACAGACTAAAAATGATTTTTAGTCTTTCAAACTAATTCAGATTTCAAACTACTCTTTCAAATTTCAAACTACTGCCATAAATTTAGCTCAAAATCACTGTTTCTATGCATAGGCCCCCGAGCATCCTTGATTGACTGTCAAGCCTGTAAACAGCGAAGACTAGTATTGACATTTAAACTAGCCACAAGTAGTGTCAAATACAGTATATGAAGGTACTGAAAAACAAGGCTGTCCCTGTATGTGATTGAAGAAACATTTACAAAATTTACAAAATTATCTGGTGCTTAATCCTTTTTATTATTTTCTTTCTTGTTTCTTCAATGTCAATATCAATAGTAAGCTGTTAAAAAGCTAAACATCCTAATTGATTCATTATAAGAATAAACAATACAAAAATAAAATATTAATAAACTTTTATGGATATGAGGGCTTAGTATGAGTTTCTTCTGAAAATCATTTAAAAAATGTGTTCTCCAATTTCTAAGCAATTTTAAAAAACAAACAAAGCCCAACAAATAGTCCTAGAGCAGGGGAATTCCTCATACTGTAGATAAGTTAGGAAGTTACTCTGCAAAAGTAATCCTGGCAGAGATCACATAATGACATTTATGAACTCTGTACCATATCTGAAAGAACAGATTTGCATTTAAAAACTAAATTTTTTCTTAGTTTAATTGAGAAGCCAGCATTGGGTCAAAATAATTTTAAAGTTGCGTCTCTTAATCAACAATAAAACCTGGAAAGTTCTAGCCTAGATAAAGATGTTAATTATCCAAAAATTGTAACACTTGACAGCACACCATCTCATAAGGAATTATTTTTCTGATTTTAAAGTCCATTTATAAAGTACTTCTTCAGTTGGTTTCTGAAAATATTATTACATGTATATGCTGTACTTCACTATTTTGCTGCAATGAGGCATGTAATAGTGATTTTCTTGTAAGGATAGCTCTGGTTTGTTTTCACACACCCATTCTGCTACTTTTTGAAATATTAAATTATTAATATTAATATTAAAAAAGAAAGTTTAATGCTCAATCTTTAGTAGGGTATGAAATAAAATCTTCTTTCTTGATTGTTTTTTGCTTTTCTGTATTCTCACACAATTAATGACACTTATAACTTTTTCTTTTCTTTAATAAAAATTATTATTTTTTAAATTTTCATGTATATTTGGAAAAAATTTAAACTGGAATTTGGGAGTATATGCATAGCAATTATTGTTTTCAGAATTCTTTTATTTTAGTGTTTTTTTTTTAAAAGGTGATTTATCAAACACATCAAGTGATACTACATCCATCTACATCTTTTCAGGTATGTTAAAATAAATGAATTTGAAAAGGTAGAATTTCCTACAATGTGCTTACCTCATAACTTGAGCTTCCGCCGTATTGCTCAGACTAAAATGAGAAGAAAAATTGTCTCTGAGAATGCAAGCAGGGAAGATAAAGTTTGTATTTTCATTTTGATTGTCAGCAGTGTACCGTAGCATGTTGTGATGTCATGCTTCGAGAATTAACGAAACTTTCTCCTGTTCTGAAATCAAAGGTAGCCATACTCACTTGAACAACATCATAATTCCATTTATGAACACAAGAAGTTTAATTACTTACTGGGACTGGCATCAAATAGACAGCTGGAAGTATGCAGGCAAGCAGAATGAACGTCCTCATGGTTCCAGACTCCGTAGTTTTGGTTCCTAAAATATACATAAAATTCTGCTTTATTTTTTGTTGTGTGATTCTACATCCAATATACATTAAACCCTTAATGCTTGTTTTATAGTATGTATCCAGCTTTTAGAGTAAGTATAACTATGGTAAACAAACAAATAAAATAGTCCATCCATGACCAAAATTGATTTCAGGATATTTCAAACAAAAGTAAAAAAGATTTGTTTTGTTTTTTTACTTTGAGGCCTGTTTTAAACATGCACACATTTACACCTAAGGACTCACAAATATCTTTGTGAGTCCTTTCAAAGATACAAATATCTTTGTATCTTTGAAAAGGCGTAAAGATAAAAAAAGTGTTGTAGATTCCAATATTTCCGTTTATAAATCAATACTATATTTTTATCAAGGCTATATTTGTGTCATGCAAAATGATAATAATGCAGTAGACAGTTTTGCATTCATAGTGTATTTACAGAATATGACTATCCTATATTGAAACAGTAGATTGTAGAGTAATAAAGCACTGACAACATTTACAAGAGAAAAAATTTAAATCAAAGCACTTAAGAAAATAGAGAAGTACCATTGATGGTACTTTAGGGATGCTCAGCCTTACCTGTTGTGTAAACTTCTGTTCTCTACTGAAGAGTTTCACATGCCAACACTGGTATTTAAAGCTTGCCAAATAAACACAATTATTTAATAACCACAGACTATTGAGAACGCTATAGTCACAACAGACTGCTGTTTCAACAGCCACGTAAATTCCAACAACATTACTGTTCTCTTGGCATAGCATTTAAAGCCATGGGAGATCAAAAGAACAAGTGTCTTCATTTAGTTCGGTATTGACTTTCACTGTTACAGTCTTATAAGCACAAAGGCACACATGTTGAGTCTATAATGAAACAGAACAACTGAGTCTCCTTTGTTTTAAGAAGAGTTACAATCAAGAGAAGGCTATTCAGTCCATGTAACTGTCTCTGACGTTTTAATTGATACAAGGATCTCATACAGCCATTTCTCAAAGGTTATCAGCCTCAACAATATACTGTAGATGGCTGCATTCGTTGCATTTACAGCACACAAAAATTCTCATTTTTAAATGCACTTCCACACAGTTTCCACTTCTGTCCTCTGGTTCATGTTTCACTGTTCTGAAGAAGGCCCACTATTTTGACCTTTGTTAGCGTCGTTGAGGGCCGAGTCAGGGACACATTGGAGACGACCACCAGTGAACGGAGATCTACCCACAAACGAGCTCACCAGTTCCAGTGGCTGACTACTTACAACAAGCGCTGCCATATGTGTTAACCATCACCACCCATCATTCCTCACTCATCTCTAGTCACAACTTAGTTAAACCCTCAAATCCCTCTGCTCTTCGCTCGGTATTGGTTTCCCTTCTTAAGAGCTCCTACCGCGCCCATTTTTTTCAGAAAACTCTTGTAAACGACTTCTTTGGCTTTGGACTTTGTTTTTGTTCCTTGACCACGATCTCACCTGACGATTCGGATTGGAATCCAGTGTTCACCGTTGCCTCGACTCTCTCTCTCACTCTCATCTGCATAGGATCATTCCACGTTCTGACTTGGATTCGTAACACACATCTTGTTCAAGCAAAAGTACCTCAATTGGTACATTTTACTTAATCATTTTCCCCATATGCTTGTTGAGTCCTCACTCACCTTAACATAAAAAAACTAAATTCCGTAACATAATATTCTTTCATTCATGGAATTAAACATCCATAGGATCTCATTGGGTATTCGAAGAAAGACTCACAAGGAAAATAGATTTAAAATTAAAAAGTCTGTTTATTAGAAGTGTTAATACAAAGTAGCATGACACTGAAAGAAAGCATTTTAGAGCCACTGTTTGTTAAATAAACAATACTGACTGTGAAGAACAATAGGAGGATCATTGCTGTACTTCCAAAGATGTACCAAGTTTTACCTGTGCTCTTACAACACAAAGTATTATTCCCTGTGACTAATACACACAACATTTGGTTAATAATGGTTATATACTCATACTCACTTAGTAACTGTATATACTCAAATACAGTTAACATACTGTAGATTTTATAAAAATGGAATTGCATATTTTCAGACTTTGTAGTTACCCTAACATATACCATTTATTTGTTCTTCTTTGTCTGTTCAGTGTTTGAGAGACAGCAAAGGGCTGGAGATCATCTTTGTATTCTGTTGTATTTTGCGTAACACACGTAACACACATACATCTACAAACTCATTTCTCCAGACTCTTACAGTACAGAAAGTGAGAATTTTGTATCTTCAGGGCTACAAAATCCACTTGTTTGAGCTGCTTTTGGACATCGTCGACTGGTGTTAGAATAGGAGCTTGTCATCCATGTCCACTGTAAAGATGCAACAACCAGACATGTTAAGGCAAAACAATGATTGGGGACCTAAATGATAGGATTTATTTTTTGTTTATGTGACTTAAACTTTTAAATACAGTATATTTCCTCATCTGTTGAGCAATGTTACATTTATACTTGATTGTTGTTAGAATATTTTATTTTGCTTGTCATTTTAAGATCAATATCCAAGATCAATATTCCTGTTATTATCGGGATGTCACTTTTTCCTGTGTTACAGTAAACAGGACAGTCTGCCATAAGCACAGAGCACAAGGTGGAAGTACATCCTAGATGCGATGCCCATCCTTTTCACACAGGGTTACACACGGGCCTAGTTTAGAGACTCCAATTAATCTCCCCAGCATGTCTCCAAGTGGGATGAGGAAACCAGTACGAGCTCACTTTGGAGAGGTTTTCCGGTCCCTTAAAAATTAATTGGCTACTTGCTAGATGCGCTTTTCATCAGTCACTATTAAATTTTAAGTGAGGATCTAACCAAACAATATTTAGTTACTGTTTTTTATTTGTTTCATGCGTCTCATTTGCAATACGGCTCGACGTATTGTCAAACGCCGGAATAGAACAGTCAGGCATAAAAACGAAGCTTGTACCGCCAAGTTTACGCAAGACTGGGGGGAAACTTGAGCATGCTCTCACCTTCCTTGATGCCGAAGCAGGCGCACCACTCCCGGAAAGACACCTGCTTGTCTTTGTCAGCGTCACACTCCTGAAAGAAGCGGGAGGTGCAGTGCTCCATAGGCACCAGGGGCACACGCAGCGGAGCCAGCTCAGAGTGGGAGAGGTACCTGCAGACACAGCATGGAATTAACCTCTACCTGTTCCTTTGCAGCCCCCGCGTGCTGACGCAACTAGGTACAGTACTCAAGCTTCATACCAATATAACTTGCTCATCAGGGCTGCACAGAACATTTTTTAATATAGAGAGCTCAGAAACAGGCCCAGTAGTTTGCACAGAGATATTACCAAAAGGTAATGGTGTTTGAAATTCAATTTTACCTATCTACTGAGACAGAATGACAACGCAGCACCATAAAAGGACACATTTAAATATAGAAACATAGAACCCCCAAAACCTAAGGGTAAAAAAAAAAACAATTTTTTTTTATTCTTCACTTAGTGCTGCGATTGAGAGGGAATAAGAAATAAAGGAAACCGTTTCTCCTGTCAAAAGAAATGCATATAAGGTCATAGGATTCCATGACCAACAGCAGTGGAAAAAGACCTACTGTCTGTATAAAATGCTGGTGTTGGACTGTCAGAAGTTTGTAAAACCTGCCTTAACACTTAACCAGAATACCTTCTCCACTCTAATACACCAAGAGTTAAGACCTGCAAAACACATCTTTTTGATTTCTTTACACCTTCCAACATAACAACCCAAATGCTTTTTTTGCACTTGTACTGTATTCCTGTTTGTGCTTTTCTGTTAAGACTTTTCACCTAACAAGGCAGATGAAACATTTGGTATAAACGGAGGTGCTGGGTTCAAAATCATTTAACATTTTATTCCTCAGCTGTGTCGATGGGGACAACACGACACTCTGTTTGGTCTCCCATTTGATTAATGATCTCAAGCTTTGTGCAGAATACTGAGTTCTAAACTAACTAACACGCCACCTTACTAGACTATCCTAATTAAAGATGATTCACTGACAATCAATGTTTGTCACGTCATTAACTTTTTCAAATGAATTTCTGCAGGAAGGTTAGATCCTGATCTCGCATACTTCCGCTTGCCTGCATATATCGGTCTCGTACCCAGGACATCCAGTAGTGCATCTCTCCACTGTCCCTCCCGCCACCCCATCTACAGTACACCCCTGCAGCAACTTCCTGGTCTGGGCCATAAGGCAGGGCTGCCAGTTCCCTCAGCCAGGTGAGCTTCGCCCAAATGTACCCTGCCTATCCCTCCTCTCTGGTTTATGAGGATCTAACCGAACTGGTGGAATCCATTGTTTCTGTGTTCTGACCTGTCAGCAGGGTGTTGGTCCATCTGTGCAAACTGCCAGTGCACTGGGTAGATATACATGTTGTAATTTTTTTCAAAGTCTCTGACCAGCGTCTCAATGGGGTGATCGTCTGCCTGAAGCCGTCTCTCACTCTCATGCATCTTCTGAACCTGTGGAAGCAAAGTACATCTTCAGGGTACTGTGAATGATCCCAAAGTCAAGAAAACAATATACTGTATGAGGGCCAAAAAATAAGCTTCACGTTGATTATGAGAAAGAAGGAGTAAATCACATATTTGCAGACTGCTTGTTTTCACACCTCCTCCTTCTGTTAATTTTGTTGGCAAAATCATCTTTCAAACTCAATTCTACCTTACTAAAGTGAAAAAAGACATACCTACTACAATTATTTAATTTGGAATAAAAATGCATACTGTATGTACTAGAGGGGCATATTGACTTAAGGGCTCTAGCCTCTAGCGAGAGCTCGGGGCATCTGTATTAAGTAATACAATTGTAAATCATTAAAAACTTTCAGAAATCACAATACTGTGTATGTAGATTATAAAGTGTTTTGGATAGGTTGTGTTTTTGCGTGTTGCTGCAATATTGCCTGTCATACAAGGTTCAATAATTCAAATAGAATATTCTATTATTTTATGACAGTACTCTGTTCTCTTTTACGTTTGGTTTAACCTTTAAAAGGCCCCAGAGTGTATTTCCATTTCTGGTGTCCCCTCAAAGTATTCTTTCTGAATACATTACATCTCATACCTCAATACACCACTATTTGTAAGTGAGTGCAAAAGATTCCAATATCCAAGATCAAAGAATGATTGTCTTTCCTACTAAGGAAAACTTTAACATCAGGTATTTTGAGATGTGCCCAATCTTGTGACTTTACATAACCAAGTACTGTATACATATTTTTGCACAGAAAGGGTTTGATATGCCAGGCTTGCTTTTTTTGTTTTATTTACTTCAAATCACAAATGTGAAAATGACAAAATCATCTGAATAATATCTCTAGGTGGGAATTTTCATCTCTACCCACCATTAACATAAGCAGTCACATTTTATATGATGTCATTTGAGAGAAGAATGCTGTGAACAGCCAAATATTGGATTAACATAAATCATATCCAGCAAGATCCATTCTGAATTCAGCTCCTTTGTTATACAGTACATCATTACAATTGCTTACCCTTGTGCGCTGCTTAGGGGTAAGAAAGCCAGGAGACTTCATGTCATGTTCATAAAGCTGTAGCAAAACATTTTTCAGCCAGTCGCGCATGCGCAGAGGGAACTGTGCCAGCTCATTGGCCTGACAAGGTGCAATGTCTGTTAAAGCACATAAACCCCACATTAATACCATAGCAATCACATCCCCTTTCAACTACCCATTTTGTAATGGGATTCATGAGAAAACTTCAATACAAAAGCCAGACCCCATCTCCTATCAATCACTTGCTTGCAAAGGTATTGCACAAGGTAAAAACATGGTAAGGTAAGGTAATAGCATAATTGCAGACTTTTTCTATCTCACATTTCTACACTTAAGCATCTCTCCACAAACTACATCCATCTCCACTGCCAAAGCAGTCACCCTTTGGCTCATTTAAGAGACTGGCATATTTTTAAATGCATTTTAAATTAAAAAACCCAAGACTCAAGAGAGCCGCACCTGACATACATTTGAAGAATACAATCGACAGTGCTATTTAAAATATGCCTTGTAAATTAGAACGCAATAAAAATTAAAGATAAAAACTATGCTTTGTTTGTGAGAAAAAATAACTTTTGTGCCCCCCCCCCCAAAATAAAAGTAATGTTTTTTCCCATACATTTGCAAGGTCCAGCGTAATCTAAGTGAAGTCTATGGCCTTTTTTAGTTCCGTCAAGATTGCACTTTGTAGCAAAAAGCTGACAAGATGTGTCATAGGTCTTGTTGTCAGTTCCACACACCTAGATGAAGCAAATAAAAAAAAAAAAGAATTGCAGAGACAAAATGCATCTATAAATTTCTGAAGTTCTGTCATCATTGATATCCAGCTTCAATACTTTGAAGGCCAAATTGTCCAAGGTACTGTATATAAACAAAGTAAACACAAAGGATCATGTCCTCAGGGCTTGCATATTGTTACCACTGTTTGAGATCACAATCCCCTCTTTATGCAAGTCTACAGGGCTGTCAGATCTGGCAGCCTGCATGTTTTTCTTTAACATCCAGGTGTACCAGAGAGCATTTGACTAACTGACCCTCTTAAGGATCAGTTAGTGGCCAGATGCATCACATTTGTAGAAGCAGGTATTTGTAGAAGGTCAATTAATTTTCAAATATAAGAAAACACAGTGGAGATTGATTTGTCTGGTCTCTTAGTATAGTGCTAACCATCTGGAGTGTGCAAATGAGGTTTTTGCCAATTGGCAACATTTTGTGGACAGATGAGCCATGATTACATCTCCACAGGGACTAAATTAATCCACATAGATCATGTAATTACTACTACATGTTGGTAGGTTTACAGAAGAGCTAAAATAAGTTCCTTTCAGGTTGTGTTACATCAGTTAAGCATTTTTACGGCTTGTGTGTTTGCTTGTGCGTACTGCACAGTATATGTGTACAATTGTCGTAAACAGTACTTACATGCTCAAATTCCCCTTTGCTGGAAATACATGAGGAGGGATCCTGACAGACACACTCGGGATCATTTTCTTTGTTAACTTGACAGATTTTGCCTCGTTTGCAACGGAAGTTTTCACAGGGACCTGAATTAATGAAAGAAGAATCAGAAATTCTTATTTGTCTTCTTAATTCCAGCCTTTTGTAAAAGCTTACCTTTAATTAATACACAGCAGAAAGGACATAAGAACTCGAAAACACCTTCAACAACATGACTAGGTAGCATTTTCCTTACCCCCACAACTCCTTGGGTAAATAAATGAATAAAAAAAACAGGTTCCAGAGAAACAATATCTTTTCTGTAATGTGGTGAATACAACTTTACATAATATTCTAAAGGAGGGTTATTTGTGCAAAATGCAATATATTCTGAAGCAGAAAAGATAACTTGCTGAATCTACATTAACTCTCATTGATGTTTCAGTTTAAACTAATAACAGGAATCAGACCTGTGTCATTGACGTATGTTTGTGCAGTGTTCTGAGCTAACCAAGTGTTACCAAGCTAACCCGTCAGGTCCAAAAAGAAAAGCACACAAACTATAACCATCATTTATAAATGATTTATAACTCATAAAATATTTCTGTTATGTTTTAAAGAATATCTCTGTTTCATTGTTTAATTAGTTCAAATCTTTTTCTTTACTCCTTATACCAGTGGTTTATTTTTTCCATTCTCTTGAGAAATAAAGAAAAATGGCATCATCATACATGTAGTTGTTACCGAGATTCCTAATGAAGTTCTAAAAGAGACGTACCTTGTTGAGAGATGAACCCTGTTACCAGATTCCTGAATTCCTACCATGTGTGCACTTCAGGAAATAATACTTACTGACATCTGCTTCCTGCGTGTCCTCATCTCTGGAAAGCTGTTCCTGGAGGTAAACCTCCTCAGCAGCCCTTTTCTGAACAGGACTAATCCCAATCACTGATGTCTAAATGGATTGGAAAAACATGTCTATAATCAAGCAGTGCTACAGTAAGTACACATGATGGGCCTTAGATTTCTTCTTGTGATTTTATGGGAAAAAAATTGAATAATGTAATGAACTAGTCAGTTTGAAATGCAAACACACACCAGTGCATCCTGATTATCTTGTAGATTTGTTCACACTATGACATGAAAACTTTGAATTTAGAAGCAGAATTTAAATACAAGACAAATGCTCAATCGAATGATATAAAGGTGATCTCGATAACTATTTCAATCCCAGTATTTTTTTTTTTATTATTTCTTATTTCCCCATTAGGTGTTAATCAAATGTTTTAGGGACTTTTTTCAACTCTATTAAAATTTCTAATGGATAAAAGTATAATATTTCTTTGAGTTAATATAATTCTATTCTATCAGCGAGAGAGAATTATTAATTAAACTGACATATTCTAGATGCAATTGACATCACCTTCATGTCAATCAGTTGTGCAAAGGTTTGTATTTAAATTTAATTTATGGAATGTAAATAACCCTGAAGAAGGTCTGAAACATGCCCGCTAGTTCTTATTGTTTAATATTAGAAAAAGAGAATATTTCTGAAAGCTTTGTGTTCTTATCTACATGAGTGTAGACCTTTCTCTAGCTGTTGATTTTGTACAATTCCAAGTTTATTATAGCTATAAGAAATACTTCTGGAACAGGAATGTGACCCCCAATATTTTAATTAGAAATGTAAACAGTAGCAATAATGCTATCTGAAATACTGAATATACTGAAATAGTGTAATACCTCTGGAGGTCTGCATATAATTCAGGCTGGACAGGAAGCACATACTGTTGTCTGCATTCCTTTTATTTAAAGAACCTGGGATATAGCCACTGCCTACTAATTGGCGAATAAGTGCTGACTTACATATATAGCAAAGTACTTTTGACTAGGTATACAAATTCTGTCTGTGGCCATTGAAATAGCACTTCAACATTCCTATTTAAGGAGGTCAAAAAGCTTCACCCACATCACAAACATTGTTTTAGCTGACTCCTAAAGTGACTTGGATATTACTGGTCTGTTTTGTTGGATTTTCAAAGAGAAGCCTTCAAGCCTTATTGTTCTGTGCCTGCCAGAGATACACAGCGATCTGACATATGTAATGATATGACTTGCAGTGTTCTGTATCTACAGTATATAATTACCCATTTTCCTGATTTCCTCTTTTTGGTTTTAGGGACTGTGTTCTCCCTCATCTGAAGAACCCCATGCCCCCCATCCGGTCTTTCTTGAGCTCCATGTTCACTAGATGTTTTTCCACTGTGGCTTTTCTTTTCGTTTTTTGATATGCCATTCATGCGACTGGCATTGCTTTCCTGCTGCTCCTCCGCACTGCTCTCTGTTCCTTCTGGTTCTGTATCTGTGGCCTCTTGCAGGTTGTTGTTACTGTCGTCTTTGTTTTTGGGCTCACTCCCTGTGTCTTTGGATTGACTGCTCTCAACGTCATCACCCTCTTCTTCGTTGACCTCTGGACTTTCACTCATGCCCTCTTCCAGAATACCTCTTGGTTCAAACTGGTTCCTACCTCTGTGTTTTCCTTGGGAATCATAGTCATCACTGTCAATGTTTGATTCTCCATCATCTTCCCTGACCTCTCGGCTGTCCTGATCATCCTTGTCTTCAGTATAGCCCATATCTGTAAGTATTTCAGTCTCTGTACTGCTGCCAATCTCCTGAAAGCTGCTTTCACTATCATTGCCTTTATCATCTGGTTCATCTGCTGATAAACCATCTGCCAAATCCTGGGATCCCCTTCGTCTGTCCAGGTCATCATCTTGACTTGTCTGTGCCTCTTCACTGAGTAGCACAGGTGAAGCATTCTGCTCAGTATCTTCTTCATCCTGTTTTTCCTGACTGCTTGCTTCTAAGGATATTACAGCAGGTAGCTTTTCTCCTTCACTTAACTTGTCAAGATCCCAAGATTCCTTGGGATTTAACATCATAAAACAAAAATAGAAAGTTTAAAATTATACTTTGTTTTTCAAACATTAACATTTTCAAGCATGAACATTTAAAGCAAGAATGATTAATTTATCTTTGCTCATACAGTATATCTCTCTTAGAAATGAATTATAAATTGACTTCAATGTATTTCACTTCCCAATGTTTTTGGGGGGAGGCAGCAGTACTTTATATATTGGGTACTTTATGTATTGGGTAAGAGAAAAACTGAAAATACTGAATTGTCAAACAGCCTTTTCTGAAAACAGCTAATGGTTAATGCGTTAGTATCTTTGCTTTTGTTGCATGTAGTCAATAAAGCATTCTCAACAATACAAATACAAAAAAGTCTTAGTGATATGTTACTCCTTTCAGTCTGAAAACATATTTTGTAGAAGGTAAGGTGAGAAGAATGAAGAAGATAAGAGGTGATAAGGAGGTAAGGAGCTCCAAATAAGGAGATAAGGAGAGGATCTAACACAAAAGCAGCACAAAGCTTGGTATCAATTTAATATTACCCTAGAAAGAAACTCAATTTTCATAAAACATTAATATTAACTTCATTGAATAATATCGTAACAGTTACCATACACAAATCTTGTTTAATTTGTTATGTAAGCAAACATGGAAACACATTTTGTAGTTTATAGTCATTACTACTGTCAGTAAGTACTGTATGCAAAAGATTATCTATTACCTTTCCATTCTGTGTCACTGGTGTCTTCAGTGAAACCGTATGTGTTCTGTGAGGCTTGCTTGTTACCTTGTGCATGAGAATTAAAATAAGCAACAGTATTCTGAATAACAATAATAATATGAAACAAATAACAAAAACAAATAAACCCCAGAAAAATGTTAAAAGAAATGTATGTTATATACAGTATAATTAATCAGTTTCCAATGTGATGGAACATCCTTGATCATGGTTCTGGGCCTACATTAAGGAAAAACATTGCTCACCTTTTGAAAATGTGAAACATTATATATGATATCTATTTAATTGACTCAAGGTTTAAAGTTACTTTTTTCATGCAGAAATTGTTTGGTTAGTGTTTATTTCTCTTTCAGGCTTAATATAGTTATTACCTCTTGAGAGTTGCAACATCACTGCCAAACAATGCTGAGCATGTCTACTCACATTTTTGTCCCTTCATGAACCTGATAAATGCAACAGTGCAGTAGGGTATCAGAGGACTGAGAGCCTTGTTCCCTTGTTTTAGCCAGGACCTAGTTTCTGCCCTACCCATTGTCAACCTTGAAACTGTTGAATTCTCATATTCCACTCTTCCTGGTGTACAACCAGTCCTGCCCTGCCAGTTGCTTTCTCCCTTACTGGCGAGTGAACTGTAGCTGCCATGTGGACGTCCCTCATATTGCTGAAGCTAACTCCTCTCGTTTCCATAGCCACTCAGAGAGCGAAACAAGCTTCCTTTTACTGCCTTAGACTGTGCCATGCTAAGATCATGCTGCTGGGTGCTAAATATGAGGTGGGTCAATGGAGAAGGTTGACCACCCACTCCAACAGGGTGGCTGTGTAGAGTGAAAGAACACCCACCCCCCTATTTGGTGTTCTACCCCTGACTCTCACAGCAGCAATCCTGGGAGGACTCTTCCTTACATTGCCAGGATGTTGCTCTTTGCCGGGAGCCTTCCATGCAGTGTAATGCCCAATGTGATGCCTAAAGGGATGTGGAATGCCCACACACTGGGAAGCCCACAGGGATGGCATAGGTCCTGCTGTGGACCAAAGACACATTCAAAGAATGATCTGGATGCAGCATGGTCCTCAATCCGTATCACGAGTTTAGCAGAAGGCAACCCAGTTGGAACGGACACTTTCATCAGCATTACCTTGGGCTCTTTGTCCTTCTATTTTTGACAGCTTGGGCTCCCAAGAGGTAATAGTTACCTTCATTCTGAAAGGAAACACTACGTTTCCAGAGTACACACATGATAGTCAAACTGTTCTGAGTCTGCCAGCAGGATCTTCTATTGTCCAAAGCAGAATGCTTTTTCAGTACATCATAAGCCAGCGCTGAAACTGTATAAAATACTTCTGTGAAGTTTTAAAGAATAAATTCGAACCACATACTTACAGGGTCAGCAAAAGCCAAAGTCAAGAGACAAAGTAACAGTAAATTCATCATTTCCTCTTACTCCAACCTGAAAATAATAATGACCGCTTTAGTGCTATGAAATCAAACATTCTATATAGTCTCAATAATCTAGCAAATATACTGTTGAAAATTCAACAATTTTAAGTGAAATATATTGCCTTTCTGCTTTGTGCATCCATAACTTTTACAGTAATGTGTCATACAGTAGATCAGGTCAGCTAAGTCCGTCAAAGTCAATTATGAAGCAGAGAATTCAGACAAATTATAAACGTATTGTAATATTTCAAAAAACAAATAAAAAACTATGTACCAGTTTTGAGATGTGCAAAATATACAAAGGGACTGAGTACACACTTCAAAACATTTTACTGCCATTCTTAATGTTTTTGGTATTTAAATTGCCGTTTGCTTTCCCCAATGATACCCAAACCAAACAATGCCTATAATTACAATGTTTTGACTGCATTTTTATAAATGTAGCCAAAAAGTGTTACTACATGCTATTAGAGTTTTTTTTGTCAAAACAAAATAGTTTATAACAGAATATTTATTTTTAATCCATTTCTAACAATTTTTGTCTTCCAATACAGGACTATAGGTCATTGAAAAAATATCACTCCTAGTGAGTCTTAAACACACCCCATCAGATGTGGCACAGACAGTCAAGTATTTGAAGGGATTATGATAAAAAAACACTAAAAGTTCAACATGTTCAAACAATATCTAGTAATTAAGCAAATGTTTTAGTTTATCAAGCAATTAGGAAAACCACACATTCTCTAAGCTATAAAACATTTCCCTAAGGTAAAAGAAAGCAGACTGTTATGAATTATTATGATATGATTAATCAAGCCAGGATAATCACCATGTGGTCTAAGGATCATGAAAACAAAAATGTTACTAACAGGCCTAAACTAGATTGACACACTGTTATGGTGGTGTCCATTTCTATACCAATTGTTCTGTAACATTAGGTAATACAGAACATTTCTGTATGATATGCAAGTTGTGAGTGATATACATTTTCCAGGTGAACAACATAATTAAACAATCCTTTTGGAATTACTATCTGAATTTTAGCTTCCCTTTGTGTGTCCATATACATCCAGTTAATCAATATACAATTATAAAGGGTCACCCACAACAGCGACAAATTCAGATCACTTCCTCTAATTCTGGTACAGCAAGAATATTCTCATGTCTGAAAGTACTTTCTGTTACTATTGGAGACAATTCCCAGCAGGCAATACTTCCCAGCTAGCAATGTCATCGTATTATTAATTTTCTCAATCAGTTTTAACATTAGAATTCTAAAGCTAAAAAAAGGCAAGAAAATGGTTTACTAAGGTAAAAAATAATTTACTTTCATTTTAAAACAGATATTTTTTATGGCGTTACTTTATTGCGATGACATTTTAAATGTTAATTACAGTTAATGATACCATCTTACTCATCATCAGCATGTTGTCTGCAATATACTGTGAGTACTGTCTTTTCATTTCTCCTGTGAGAAAGTATAAACATGATTTTCCAGAAATAATATCAAACAGTATCAAAATCATATTGACAGAATAAATTGACAGAACAAGTCTAAACTCATCATTTGAATGCTGATCAAGGCTGTTCAAGTCTTGTCTCACGCTTATAGACTCAACGATCAACAGTGATGGTCTACCTAGTACCTAGTCTTGGTTGTGTATGTACTTTAAGAATACTAGACAAGATAATGGAATTGAATTACATACTACAGATATAGAAATCACAAAAAAGAGATTTGCATAAATTCCCATTCTGCTAAATTCTAAAAATTCTGCATCAGTGCTGAGAAAGAAAGCCACATATTTTATGTAAATTACGTATTTTTTCTCTGGGCACACAAATTCACGCTGGTTCAAGACAATGGTTCTAATTATGTATACATTATTAAATCAGATGAAGACAAATTTACTGTACATACACAGAATCCAAAAAAATGTTGGGTCTTTGTCCTAGAAAAAAAAAACAACCCTGTGCTGTAAATTCACGTTTTTCTTTCAATAATAAACATAACAGTGCCACCATTTGGATGTTCCATATACTGCAGCAGCTTTTGAGAATTGTTGCATTTATAGACATTTGCAGATAGGAAATAATTAATAGAATCTCTTTCTATAAAATATTTGTTTCATAGAAACAAATCTTTACCCACACATACAGTACAATTTACATGTTTTGATGGCACATGAAATAAAGAATATTTTAAAACTTTATGGAACCTGAATAATGTGACCTTTAACACTAGGAAATAAAAATGAGCACATTCCATCTATTAATAAAATGAAATAATGTTATGTTTTTGTTATATACTGATGCAGAAAATGAAATACAACACTCAGATATAAAGGATTGCAGAAATATTTTATACCTAGATATCCATACAAAATCATAGAAAATGTGAGCAGACCATCATAATTCATTTTCAGTATAAGATGTGACTTCTCTGAACACTGACACAATCCTAGGACAATGCTGAAGCGATAGAACTGATCATCTTCTGGGTACGAACTCTTCCTATGCGAGACAGCCATTTGATGTTGTTTACTTTTGAGGGCAATTTTTAACACTTGGAAGAACTACAGTATTAGGGTCGAGTAAGGAGAAAATGCTGACTACAACCTTTTCTTAAAGTCAGGCCATTGTAATCCTAGCAGGATATGGTCTTGTCCAGAAGGACACTACTGCATTAGTTTGCAAGAGCAGAAAAACAACTGGCTCAAGGCCTTTGTCAAAGTATTGCTGAGAAGTAAGGTGGTACTCCATCTGCACCAAAACCATTTTTGCGTTAAGAAGATTTCTCCTCACAACAGCGCAGGTTCACTGCATTTTTGGTGGGCTTGCACAACACCGTTAGCATAAAGCTCACCATGACGTCTCCACCTGTGTTGTTTTCCATCAGGTCTGTCAAGGGCAAAATGATATTCATCAGGGAAGAAAATAGCCACCCCTCCTCTGTGCCGCCACCCTGGACATTCTCTGGCCCACAGAAGATAGCTGATCTCTCAGCAGTTAACATACAAGTATTGTCCCTGATGAAGCAGAGGATCCAATTCTCCAGAAGCTTATCCATAAGGTAACACAAGCAAGTCACCTTCAATTATACCAACAGCAGCTGGGTAATCATCGTCGCTCAAGCAAGCCACAGGAACTCGTTCTCTGTTCTTGCAATAATTAAAATCACATCTTTTACATGGCCGTTCCAACAGATTCTTTGTGTAATTTTAACGGGAGGCTAATACCAAACACAGTAAATGAAGAGACAGTAAATGTTAGTTTAAGACGATAGTTCAGGAGGAAGTGAGATGCTAAACTCGCCCACTTGTGCCTACAAATCTATAACATCTTGCTTGCATCTTGGTTTGTTTTAACATCCTTTCTTCCACCCCATCTTTAACGCAACAGCAACTCCAGGGTTTATCTTTCATTAAAGAGGCTCCAAGGGAGTTACCCAAATAAAGCTAGGTATTTGAATCTTGCCTCTTCTCTGTCGACGAAACTAGTGAAAAAATTCCGTAGAGCTGCAGTGGAGTTCTGTTTCAGTTCATTTTTAAAAGAAAAAAATACAGTATTAATTTACTGTACATTATTCTGTGGCAAACAATAAGCTCAGAAATGTAAAATAAAATGGTTTTCAACATTATAATGATTATTAACAGGGAAACTTAAATAAGGAATAAAGAAAACATGGTTTAGAATCAATGTGGTTTCTAGTGACCAATTTTTTTTAAACGTTCCAGGATGTACTTGAACTAGAACAGTGGCTTTTCAACTACTTTACCCCTTTTTTAAGTAATATATAAGAATAAAGACTCCCAACTAAAATATAACACCAGACCGAAGCCTAAAATTACTCTAAAAAATGCTACTATCAAATAAGTGGCATACTGTAAAATGCACAACTGAAGCTAAGTACTGTAGATCTATTTTAAGAAAAGAGCTGTCAGACGTTTTGAGAAGCATGAGAGTACTTATTTTACGCAATACTGGACATTTTTTTTTTTCTGGGGACCCCTAAAGAGAATATGAGGCATTTTACTTCAGGTACTGTATTTCATTTCATTTAGAAGACTGAATGTTCTGTATTAGATAATAAAACACTGCTAAGCACAGTAGCTAAAAAAGGGCTAGAAAAAATGCCATTAAACATCCATCCTAACCATTTCTTCCAATTCAGAGTCATGGAGAAGCCAGAGCCAATACCAGTCCATCACAAGGCAGACACATATTTTAGCTAGAAACACACTCACACCTAGGGCAAATTATCACAAAAGCCAATCTACCTACAGTACCAACATGTCTTTGGACAGTGTGAGCCCAAGGTCCCAGCGCTGCAAGGCAGCAATGCTAGCCTCTGCGCTACTGTGTTGCCAGCAAGCAAATATTTCTTATATTATATTTTATATTTAGAGAGAATTCCTAGAGTATTCTAATTACTATACTATTACTATTCAATAATACAGGAATATTTTGATTTAAATAATGTAATCGAATGCCAGACAAACATATCTGTTTTTAGAATTTTCTTTTGATATTTAAAAGTTCAAGTCAATTACTATTGTATGTCAATTCTACCTTTCTTAAATTTAGTTCAAGAAATTTGCAGGTATCCCCCTAATTTGGATCAGAATTCTGTTACCCAGAACAGCAGACACTGTTGTTATGACAACAGGCTTTTGAGGTTTTTGTTTCTCAAAGGTCAGATTCAGAATCCTGCGCGGAAAAGTAAACAGATGAAACTACTAGACTGGAAAAAGAGTTGACTAAGTATACAAACTTTTTGTCCCTTGGTATTAACAATGAGGGCGTTAATGTCGCTACCTCAAAAGAACAATGGAACATTGGATCGCTTCCAAACAGGATAACAAAAGCTGACAAATACAGCATGTCATAGTTGATAAATTACCTGAATAAAATGGAATTTTAACCAAACCTTTTACTTTTACTTCTGGGACATAGTTAAAAAACAGATCACAAATCAAAATGTTTTATATGTTTTCTCATAATTACCAAATAACACCATAAATCTTTTAGTCTGCTTTAGGCATTTCATTTTTTTAAATGTCATTATAATCAAGAGATTATTTTCCCTTCCTCAAAAATGTATGTCTGTAAACATCTGTATGGTTTCTATCTTTGGGAAAACAATATATTTTTCTTGCTACTGACATTTAATCTAAAAAA